ATCATCTAGCAAATTATACTGTTTAAGATATCCTGATCTAGTATTGTAACCTCAGGGGACAACAGGGATAAAGATCATATGCTAATAAGTACTTTGTATGTGCTAAATGGTGACCCTTTGTTTTTAAATTTATTTAAATCATTTTAATTGGAGGTTCTTACAGGTGTTATAACAATCCATACATCAATTGTATCAAACACATTTGTACATATGCTGCCATCATCATTTTCAAAACATTTTCTTTCTGCTTGAGCCCTTGGTATCAGCTTCTCTTTTATTTCTCCCCCGCCCTCCCGCACCCTCGTGGACCCCTGATAAATTATAAATTATTATTATATTCATATCTTACACCATCCGCTGTCTCCCTTCACCCACACTTCTGTTGCTCATTCCCTTTGGGTGGGGGGTCAGGGGGTTTATACATCGATCAGTGTATTTGGTTCCCTGTTTCTCCCCCTTCTCCCCACAAATGTTGACCCTATTTCAACCCCTTCTCGTTTTATTTCTAGCTCATGATTGTCAAAATTTAGCATCTTTTACCTAGACTATTAAAGCAACCTCCAAATGATCTCCCCATACCCCATTTATTTCCCACACTCTTGGCAGAGGCATTTTCACATATATTTCCATGCATACTCCCACACACTTAACTTAATCTACATACCTTAACAACTTATTAAGATTGTTCTTAGTTTTATTTGAGGTGAGACTCCACTTGATGCTCAATGAAAATCTGAACTTCCCATCAGATTTACTTTATTCATGTTACTCAATATTATTTGTCATTGTTTAAAAGGGATTTCAAAAATGTATTTCCCATGTGTCTTCTGATCTTCTATCCCCATGATTTACCCCACTATTGCTCCAGTAAATGTTGAATTGCTTCCCAAGTTGGAATATATGCCCGCCACGTCCTCATCATATGAAGTCTTACGCTAGAATAAGAGCAGACGTTAGAACGTGGGTGTCACTGAGAGTCTAGGAGTCAGATCTGCTTGTATGAGCATAGGGGTACTACTTAGCTGATTAGACTCGCTTATGTCATTACCAGTATGAGGAACATGGTGCCATACTAATTTGGTAAAAAAAAAAATTTTTTAAGTTAACTAACTTGGTAACATTTTGGTAAAGATGAAATCAGATGATGCATGTGAAGGCCAGAGTACTCAGTAAATATCTTCAACCCCAAGGAGCCGTGTGATGTCGTTAGGTTCTCAGTATTTAGCTGCTACCTATGAGGGAGACAAGTCAAACCACCTGCAGCTTTGCGGAAAAATAAGGCGCTCTGCTCCCACAAAAACATACAGTCTTCAAAACCCAAAGGGGAAGTTCTACTTAATCCTATCTAGCGTCGCTAAGAGTGTGAGTTTATTCCCTGGCACTAGGAGGGTGTTTTCAATCTCAAATCAATTACCACCTTCTCTATGATTTCCAGGAACCCTAGTGGCTAGTAGTTAGGTGTCGGGCTGCCACCTGCACGTCCAATGTTTGAAACCATCGGCTGCTTCATGGGAGAAAGACTGAGCTTTGTAGTCTCAAAACAACTACAGTCTCCGAAACCCCAAGGGGGCAGTTCCCCCTTACAGGTGGTTCTTTCTTACAGGGCGGAGCTGCCCTCTCGGTGGTTTTCTTTTTTGGTTTTGTTCTGATTTGTGACTTTATGCCTCCTTCCTTACATCCATCCCCTACCCCAGTGAGTTGATTTCTGTTCTTCACAGCAGCCAGCAGACTCAGTCCTACAATTGTAGCCTTCTGAAACATTGGTCCAGCTCACAACCTAGACCAGTGATTCTTAACACAGGCTGGATAATCAAACGATGCTCTTTCAAAAATTCCTTTCTTCGTCCGATTAATACGGTCTCTGGTCAGGTAGACAGTGTTTTCAACTCCCCAGGTTATTTTATTGTTCCAGCCTACATCATTGACCCCTGGAGGCAGGGATGCCTCCTGGAAGTCTCACTGTCACCATGGAGCCTGGGACACGGTGGGTGTCCAGGAAGTATCCATAGAATGAGAAACTAGCATGATGACCAGCTAGCCACACCTTCTCATTCAATGCATTTCAAAAACCATTTGATTATGAACATGCGACTTTAAGATATAACATACTCCTAAGAAAGTTTGTGGTAGTTACATAATCTGGTGTCAATTTGGGACTTGAGAGGATTAAGAGTAAAGGGATGGAGTCCAGTCTGTCAATCAGGTCATAACCAAAGAGGCCTCTGTGTGGGCATGGCCTTCTCCTGAGAATTCTGGGAACTCCTGTATTTCTTCCTTGAAGAAGGAAGACACTTCTTTCTCTTGGCTCACTCCCTTGAAGACTCTCTGCTGATAACGCTCACTCCCTTGGAGACACTCTACTGATAAGACACATGGAACTATGCTAGTGCTCTGGGAACTGGAGAAGCCTCATGGAGACCCCTGGCAGCACTGAGGTGTTTACAACGCCACTGGATCCAAAGACTTTCTAACCACTGGCCTGTGATCGTTCTGCATTCAGCATCATTGCGTGTGTTTCATGAGTCTGAAGAGGACTTTATAAATTACTATTAGACATATGTGCTAGTATCAGATTTATGAGCTTGGACTGGACTGGGCTGAGATGCTTTCTTTGTGTACAGTTACCCTTAATATAAAACTCTCTCTTATACACATATGCGTGTCTATGAATTTATTTCTTTAGTCCACCCAGACTAACACAAATTTACATATACATAATGAGATTCAATACTTTAACAGAGAAAGAAATACTCATTGCAGTGGAGTTGATTCCACTCACAGCCACCATATAGAATAGAGTAGACCTGCCCCATACGGTTTTCAAGACTGTAAATTTTCATGGAAGCAGACTACCACGTCTTTCTCCTGTGAGCAGCAGGTGAGTTTGAACTGCTGACCTTCTGATTTGGAGCCAAGCACTTTAACCATTTTGCCACCAAATTTACAAAGAAATGTAAATTCCCCACCCCCCACCCCCAGTTTAATTATGTCTTATTGTGTTTCCTTTTCATTCTTTTGGGTTCAAAAATCATATTAGCTAGATGGTTTTAAGCTGTTTAAGTTTCTTAAAGAGTTTCCCCAAAACAAAAGCAGAAATTATCAGTGTACTTGCTACTATAAAATTTCCCATTGTCAGCCTTTTATATTTAATCCTCTCTTTTAGCATTTGTTTTGTTGCCTTCCTGGTAAAGTATTTACACAGGTTTATATTTAACCTTCCCATGTTCTCTGTTTTTTAGTGACCCATCCATAATTGTGCTTAGCTCTAACAATATTCACAGTACCTTGAAAGAAGAGAAAACAAGGGCTAATGGATTTAAAAGCAATAGCTCTAGCAATTTGTTGAAATTAACTTTCCCCCATTATGGTTGGTATGGCATCTTTCCTGAATGTTATAAAGGAAGCTGATATGTACATAAACTGTTTCATATAACAAATAGTGTCTGCACATCATGCCTAATAAAATCAAGTTTCTTATCTAAATGAGATTGATCAGTTTATTTTCAATCGGATCCGATGTCAGGATGGCCTCTGGACACCACGCTGCAGGACGGGTAAGGGAAGCTGATTCCTATCTTCTCTGATAAAGAGGCTCATGGCTTCATTACCTCCCTTCTAGCCTAGAAATTGAAGTGTTATCAGCTTAACAAAAAGAAAGAAAATATATTATGTAAACCTCTCTAACTGTTGCAGGATCTCCACAGTCAAAATGCCCAAGTGTTACACTTTTATTACAATGAAAGTGATTGAGTCCGGGATCTTGTTTAATTTCTGCACAACATTATTTTCTCATAGGTAATCAGCTCTGATACTGGGTCGACTGTTTCCTTCTGGATGATAGACACTGGGCAGAAAATCAAACAGTTTACCGGTTGCCATGGGAACGCAGAAATCAGCACCATGGCCCTAGATGCAGATAAGACGCGGCTCTTGACTGGCAGCACAGATGGGGCTGTAAAGGTGCGAACACTGAGATGCTTTCCTACCGAGATATGAGGGGGCTAAATATGGTGCGAGGAGACTCAGCTCCCGCTGTACTTGTTTTTGTCATTTTGGCCCTGTAAGAAGAGAGAGCTGAGAGCTGGGACAGATCAGAGCATTAACTAACCCAGATCATCTAATAACAAAGCTGTTAGGAAAATAAACCTCTGTGGAAAAATGAGTAAAGGATTTTTATGAAAAAATGATTTAAAATATAAACACAATGTGGCTTACTTCTTTCGAGAAGAGTCTTCCTGAGCACTAGATAAAAGACTACTTTGGGGAATATGAGGCAAATGTTTTTCATGTGCTTCAGCTAATGTCTCTAAGTTTCCTTTTTATTGGCTCATAAAATGAGAAATGAAGGCCACTAAGTGAACTTTTAAAATTTGACATAAATGTTAGAAAGTTTACCAGAAAATGAATTTCATTTAATTTCATTGTGGTTTGGGCAAAGTTTACGGAGAACATTTGGTTTCCATTCAACAATCTATACACATTTTGCTCTGACAGGGTCACTAGGCCCTCAGTGGAACAGGGCTTCCTCTCAGAGTTCCTGGTTTCCATTTGTCTCACTTTTATGCCCCTTCTGTCCTTTGGGCTTTATTTTGGGATAAACTGATCTTTTCTTCTAATATGATTGCTTATTCAGAGGAACATTATCCTCATAGGAACCCGAAATAGGTTTTCCAAGGTTGTAAATCTTTATGGGAGCAGAAAGCCTCATCTCTCAACCACAGAGCATCTGTTGGGTTTCAACTGCCAACCTTGGAGTTAGTGGTCCACACTTACCCACCAGCTCCACTAGAGGATTTTTGGGTACTTTAGAGGCCTATCTATTGTTGAGCTCAGATAGTTTCAGTTCCATAATGAAGGTTGTCCAAAGGCTAGTCTCAGAGGTTCTACAAATCTCCATTAGACCAGTGAACCTCGTCTTTTTTTATGTTCATAACATTTAGTCCACATTTTCCAACTACTTTCTATTGAGATCATGATCATCAGTTCTGTGTCCCCAGAGAGTGCAGTCTGATGTTCATTAGTTCTTTGGACCATTTTTCCCTTGAGTCTTTGATTCTTTTCACCCTTCTGTACTCCTGATGGGGAGATACGAACAAGAAAATGAAAATTGTTTATCTGATTTCATCATTTGTGCTTATGTTATATGAAGGAGAGTCATTGAAGAAAGCAAGTAACACTAAACCTAAAATCAATCTTATTTGTTATCTGTCCTAACATGTAAGGTTGCCTTGAGTTGAGTGCTAATCAAAACAGCAACCTAAAACTATCTTATATGTCCAGTTATTTATTTGTCACTGTTCTTAATTTCTTTTCCAAGAAAGGTTCTAGTTTAGTTTATAAAAGTGACACCGATTTCATGTAAAGCTAGATATTTGCTATCTGAAATGATGCCCATCTGTTCCCCTGAGTCTTAAAAGCAATGACAGTCTTTGATTGGAGATTGCTTGTGACTTTGCAGCAAAATAAGGAATTTTCCAGATTAACGAAAGGCTTTTCTTAAACATCTGCCACAATTAGGGTAAGAAAGGTATTAGATATGAGAGAATTTTTAAAAGTTTGTAGAAAAATGGAGTGAATAGTGGAATTTTCCCCATGGTGGGGGTAGGTAATGCATAAGGTGAACTGCAGGGTCGTGTAACAAAGCCATCTGGACAGGCAGGTAGCCCATCCTGAAAATTAAGGATAACTGTCTGGTTGTCATCTTTTAGTGTGATGGAAAGGCTATAGTTGATTGTAGAGCCAGAGACTCCCTGGGTATTAGAAGAGTTTAGTCTCTAAAATGGTTAATGGAATAAAGTATCCAGAGGGTATAAGCACAGAAATCTAGTTCATGAGACGATAAAAAGGTGAAAAAAGATTCTGGGAAATCCCAATTCCAATAGTTAAGGTAAAATAAAGCAAGAATAACTGGAAATGCAGTAAAACTGGAAACAGTGGCTTAAGGAATAGCCAGTAACTCATTTACCAGGCCTATAGATGGGAATGAACAGTGACTAGGGGATTAGTATGTTTCTCTTTATCCACATTTCAGGAAAAAAAATCTGATTGTAAAACCCATTACTAAAATAGTCCCAGCTAATGGAACTGATGAGATCTGTGGAAGTCAGACCTTTATTGTACCTATTTGTAATATTCATTATTTTACTTGCAATTTGTAGAATCAGGTATAAAAGAAAACAAATTGTGTTAGTTAGGGTTCTCTACAGAAACACAACTAGACCACTTATGATTATATCTCTATCTCTATATCCATCTCTAGCATCTGTAATTATACAGATATGATATATGGAGAGGTTTATACAGTGAGAAGGAATATAACAGTTAATTAGTCCACACAGCAGTACAGAAAGCTCAGTTCAGCTCAATTTTGTGGAGCAGTTAATATACTGGAAGTCTTTCAACTCACTTGGGTTGCTGGGTCCAAGGTCAAGGAAGCAGTCAGCAGAGTCCTTCCTTGGAAAAGGCAGGCAGAGTCTGCCCATAGGCAACAAGCAACAGGGTGGCCCAGCAACAGTCAGTAGCTCTGGTGCTTAGCAACGCAGGGGGATATTGAGCACAAGCAATGCAAGACAACAGGATCTACCAACCTCAAGCTCAAGAGATGTAGGCACCAGCAGCACGGTGAAGCAGGTCTCTAAGGAGCTACAAGATCCAAGGCTTGGGTTGGCTCACAGGTAGTGTAGCACACAGGTTCAGGCAGAGAACTAGCTAAAGCTGCAGCATGCTGGGCTGATCACCAAAGAGCAAGAGAGGCGTGTGGGGTGGGCCTTGCAGAACCATGTATCTCTTTGCCCTCTAATCAAACTGTAATCACACATAAGCCTAACTGTCACAAATGATATGGGGTAAGAGTATATATGCCTCTCAATGTCTCAGGTAAATCCTTGATATCTTAAAAATGAACATGACTTTAGTTGTACAGTCACTACTTTTTAAAGTGTGTGTGTCTTTATCACAGTTGCATAGGATTCTAATATCTGATAACCTTTTCTGAGGACAAGAAGGTGGCGCTATAGTGGATTACACATTGACCTGCTGATGGCAGGTCAGCAGTTTAAAGCCACCAACCACTCGAGAAGAAATCTGAGGTTGTCTTCTCCCATAAAGATTCACAGTCTCAGAAACCCTAGGGGACATTTGTATCCTGTCCTACAGGGTAAAAAAGAGTCTGAATTCGCTTGATGGCATTGGGGTTTTTGCTCAGGATACATAATCAGTGTTGAGCTGTTTTGGCCATATTCAATAAAAATAAGAATGGATGATATTTTCCAATATCATTTATAAATTAGAATCTAAAAATCAGTCTTAATGCAATCAAGATTTCAAATTATTGTCCAATTCATCATGGCTTGGATTGAGCATATAATACATATTCCAGAAGCTAAAGAAGTAAACCAGTGAAAAAGTCTCTTCCACCTCTGTTTCCTAACTCTCCCCTGGACAGTGCTGCTGCTGCTGGTTTCTTTGCATCTTTCTAGAGATGCCTTGGGAATTTTCTTTTTCTCTTTAAGATTTTCCTGTCTTGGACAGAAATAATAATACTAATAACAACAAAATAATAATGGTAGTTAGCTCTTATTGCATGCTTACTATGAACCAGGTACTGTTATAAACGCGCACACACACACACACACACACTCTCTCTCTCTCTCTCTCTCTCAGTTTGGCATTATGATTATTAGACAGAAGTCAAGCAAGTTTCCAAAAGTTTCTCAAGCTTCCATAACTGCTTGAATATTTTGATAGATCCAGAAATATGGAGATGAGTACTCCTACTTAATGGTTGTAATTACATTCTACTTTATAGATAGTCCATGACCACCTTGGTCAGTCCTTTCTTAAGAACATTTGACTCAAACCTTAGCTTTTATAACAATGATGCAAGAATATCTTTGAATATATATCACATATATGAGTGTATTTGTGGAATTATCTTCTGTAATTTGAATTTTAAAAAATCCAAGTATGTATATATGATTAATCTGATAGTGTCAACTTGCCTTCCAAGTGTGATATATCAACAAAGGTTAGTTTAGTAGGATTTAGTTTTATGTGTCAGAGATCTAACCGTATCTTAGTGCACCCATCAGACTTCACCGATTAAGCAGATAAACTAAAATTTCTTGTATTTTCTATAGGACTGGCGCCTGTACCCACCAGCAACAGGAGGTTTTGTAGGGAGAAAATAAGAAACCTAATAATAATGACTTTGGTTCAGGCTCTGTAATAGATGCTTAATGCTCCAGTCATCCCTGAGAAATTAAGCTCCTGTAACACAAATGAGGAACTAAAAATTTAGAGAGATTAAGTAAATAACCTAATGTCCCACATGAGATAAAGAACTAGGATTTCAACAGACTCCAAATATTGTTCTTTTCATGAATTTGATTATGCATTGATTTAGAATCTTTGATTCCACTATTATTCTAATTGACAGATTTACAAAGCATAATACTAAAAATTATTGTTAAATTCAAATGTTAAGAAGATTTTCTTTAATCTTTACATAGCTTAAATGAATTAGCATTAGCCCAGAATGTAAACACAAAAGATTTAAAATAATCCTATTACACAGTGTTGTTTTGCTCATTAAAAATCACATCTCAAAGGCGATTTTAATTTTCTTAAAGATATGGGACTTCAATGGCTATTGTCACCACACACTGAATGCTGGCCGAGATGGAGTTGTGGGAATTTCGCAGATCTTGATTCTACAGAAGACCATACTGGTTACTGGCTGGGAAAGGTATGTTAGATCTCACAGCTGTAGAAGTCTTGTCTTTTTAAAAAAGAATTGAACAAATAAATGCATCAAAATCTAAAAGAAAAAGAACATAAAAATAAATCTTGAACAATTCTGTGTTATTCATTTGCTGGTGACTTAGAAGAAGTGAAACTTTGGTTAGAATTGACTACATGATGCGTGAATAAGATATTCTAAGATCACATTGTTTGGAGGACTTTGAAAAATCCTATAAGGCTTTCTTGAGGGCTTGGGAATTTGATCGTCTTTTTCTTTAATCACTCCAGATACACACATAATATATCACTCTCTGAATATTTCCTCCCAAGCTTTCCAAACTTTTAGTCAATAACCTCTTAGTGTGCAAATTACATTCCCTAACTGTAAAGAAAACCCAGTCCTTTTTTTGTTACTTATTTTAAATCACAGCACAGGAGTGGGCTCGCCCACTGACTTCAGTGTTAGTACCTCCTTCAGCTCGGGGCAGAAAGGGCTTCTCACAGCCCACTTACTGCTCTCAAGTCTTTCATTTCATTATCAGAAAGATTACCTTGCTTTCCTTTTTTTCCTCTACAAGAGCTAAGGGATCATAAACAGGGCCTGTTCTAGAGCATTATATAATACTAGAAAAATTTAAGTGTGATACGTTTTGAAAATATATTGTCTATAAATACAGCAGCTCACAAAATATTTCTCTAATAGGCAATTTGCCTGACATTATTCACTATAAAATTATGATAGCACTGTTTGCAACTAGGTTTAAATCAGAGTTTATATCTAAATTAGTAGCAGTATACTGGGGAGTGTGAATCAATCAGAGAGAGAAGAAAAAACACAACTTTTCTTCTAGTGCAAATGTGAAATATACAAAGTAGCAAACATAGGGCCGGGTGCAGCATAGTTTTCAGGGAGAATTGGACTGAAAGGAAAGAAAACGCAGTCAAATTATTCTACTTGGTGATAAAAACTAATTCCACTTTCCTCACCGTCGAGAGACAAGGCTTCTTCACATCCCTGGGAGCAATCATGATCCATTAGCGACTCAGAACCACTCCAAGTTGATGGTCTAATGATTTCTATTATTAGGCCATGGCAATGAATAAGTTCAGTCCTCTAATATCATGGTAGGGTAGATATGTAGTCTTCAGCTGATCCAATTTGAATTTTTAATATAAAAGAGTTTAAAAAATTACACAGGGTAGCTCAAAGGTTGGCAATATAATTTTCTTAATTCTATTTTTAGATTTAATTTAGTTTAGATATAATTTAGAAATCAGCATAAGATGTATATGTCTTGATTGTCTAAAAGGGGAACTTTAAAGGTTTGGATTTAGAGAGCCATCTAAGAAAGCTTTTAAGGGGACTCTGCGGTACTACGTTGGCGGTTGGTTACTTTCTACAACCCCGAGGAGGCAGCGCTGGAAAGACCGGCATGGGAAGAGGAAAACCTGTCACTCCCTAGGTTGTGCATCATTCACCTGCTGGTCGGGACTTGGATACTTCAGGCGGGTTTGAAAGTGGAATCAATATATTCTCAGATGTTATTTTGCTGTTATATTGGTGGATTCAAAACTTCCATTTCCTGAGCCAGAGGCTATGTCTGAGTCCGTTTTAGAGGATCCAAGACAGAGCTCTTAGAAAAAGACCTTGGGGAAGCATCTGATCTCTGTGTTCATTGCAGTGGCTACCCAAAACTCGCCTGACAGCACTCAATTTATGGGATTAATTTGGGAACTTGTAACAGGTTACAGGTCAGGATCAGAAATGCTTAGGATACAGTTGTTTGGCTAGGATAGCCTCTTGTCAGCTGTGCCTGCAGGGAGGCCACTCTGACCATCAGCCCATTGGCCTGGCCTTTGCCTTGCTTGGGCAAAGCTACAAGTATCTTTTATCTCTGCTGATAGATGACTGAAGGGAATTCCGTTCTTCCAGTCTCAGATTGTTCCCTAATAAAGTACCGGCAGGCTCTCTGTTCTGCTTCCTGCTTAAGGGCATGCAAGTGTACTTGCATGCATCAGGAAGCTCAATCCTCTGTCTCATGCATGGCTTTGCATTCTGTGCTGACACTCCTCTGGTGTCATGTTTACTCATCTGCTTTATCCAGGAAGTTCAATGTTCAGGGATCTCAGAGACCCAAGGGCATGCTCTCATCCTTGCTTTTCAGTCTTGATGGTAGTGTGATCTCTGCATCCTGCTCCTGAGATGGCTCATTTTATAGCAGGCAGGACGGAAACAGTAACCAATTCCTACATTAGAATCCAAATTTTACAGGCACAATTGAATAATCTCTCACAAAAGAATCATACAATCTTTCCCCACCTTGTCTTACCCAGCCCATCAGGAATAGAGGAAATACATTCAATCTGCACGGTCCTACTCAGACACTTGGTAGGAGTTACAGATATTATGGTTGGAGGAAATATTAACTAACTCACTGCATCACAGTTCCTATGCCAAGAGGCAGTTAACAAAAAAGACATGAGGATTTGGATTGGAGGAGGAAGGAGCATTAAGCCCACTCCTTAATACTTTAGTGATTAGAGAGGAAGTAACTGGAAGATTGACAGTCAGCTTATTAAGTTTTCTTCAACCCCCAGAGGGAAGCTTTGTTAAATTGTAGCTTTAACTTCAGACTCTTTCTACATGAAGAGATTGAGTTGATAATTTTTCAAAGGATGGAGTAGAAATTGTATGTATTGAATAAAGTAGTAAATCTATCATCTGCTGTATTTTTTCATTAGAAAGCATTAGACACTTTATGAACATCTTCTAATTTAATCCTTACCTTCATCTTACAGGGGAGGTAATATTTTACTGATACCTCATATCTCTATCTTCAGTGATCATCTCTGAAAAGTTCACTTACTCATTTGCTAGCTAGAGCTGTCTGACTGAAATTCCAAATTTAGTATGTTCTAAAAATAATTCATTTTTTACTCCCGTAACAGAAGGGAAGCCAGTTCTCCCTTATCACTCACCTTCAGAACCAAATAGTCACTAAACCTTACAGATAATGTAGTTTCCCACAAAACTTTTGAAGCTCCTTTCTCTTTCTAATCTGATTCCCACTGCACCTCAAAACCAAACAA